TATGGAGCTAAACTTTTAATACTATAGTGTCATTATAGTTCAAGTTTATCAGGATTATTTAGTGTTACCTATATAAAATTTTGTGGTAGCCCGGAGGTTTAAGGCTTCTCAGGTTCCCGTCCGAAACCTACCAAAATCCAGGACCAATATGCGTTTTTCCGAGTTTTATGTACTTTTCAAGATTATATTTAGACACCACTGACAAACGGCGAAGGAAAACATCGTAAGGAAAACTGGCCTTATTGACACATTTCTCATTATAAGTTTGATATTGCTATCTCGCATTGAGCAGGCGTGGTGATTAATGTACGAAGCTTATACGTACGAGAAGGAGCCTTTGATCAGCAGTGGTGATAATGTGATACTGAAAACTTTATATTAAGGTATTTGTAAAGGTTTTGTAGAATTTAGTTGAAAATGAAGCCAATCGAAACCGGCTGAGTAACTAATTGGGTATAATTGGCGGCATATCTTACGCATAACTTTGTTTTAATCATAAATTCGTTATGAGACCATCAAAAACCATAATTTAATACGTAAAAACTTCCTATTTTTGGTAATAAAATCCAATTAAATTAATAAAAACTCTTGTAGGTACTCTACTCTACATCACTCATTTAGTAGTTACACTAATAATTATATTTTTTTATTCTAAACTAGAACAAAAACTGTAATAAAAAACATAAACTTTAGAACGAGTTTCAGTATTATTCCAGTACCTACATGTGTTGTGTAAAAATAGTTTCTGGTTTTTACCCATCGATCTGAGTAACAGTAATAGATAGACATGTTGTTCTACACACGTTTGTATTTTCCATTCCATGTTAAGTGTAGTTTTGAGATTATAATCGTATTTACATAATGCTTTGGATTTACCAAGTCACTCAGACTTAGTAATTAAGTATAAATATATTTCTTAAATAAAGGTGACAAAGCTGTGAAAATAATGTGGTGGCTAAAGCCTCGTCCTAATGGATAAATAGATATTTCACGTAGAAGAGTCATGTTTCGACATAAATGGGTCGGCTTGACTGGAGTGATACTATGACGTCACAGAAAACCAACGTGAAACAACGGTTGCGTTGTTTTCCGTTGAGAGGGTAGGATTACCGACAACCGATTTCCCTCTCCGGAAAGGCCGGCAACACAATTGTAACTCCTCTGGTATGACGGCTATCCATGGGCGGCGCTACGCCGATTCCTTACTGTCAGATGATATAGCTATTCATTTGCCATCATAATAAAGACATGGAAAGTAAAACATAACTGATAAATTGTGATGTTACACCTAATATGCACATTGCACACTGCATTGCATATAAAAATTCTTAAATACCACCGTAAGGCCCTGTTTTGCAAATGCTGAACTGGTCCCATTTCACGGCAGACTTGGGACATAAACATCTAATAGAATGACTTATCTGTACATGTCACTTATTTTTTAACGTGAAATAGTTTTTCTTTTTCTTTCTTTTTTCTTTACTGTTTGAAAATTGTACAGACTACAATTAGTTTCAAGAGATCGTTGTAGGTAGGTATATTTGCAGTAGAATAAATAGCAAAGACTAAAAAGAAATGCATGACCGTGCTCACCTACAATTAGTATGACCGCTAAGCATTAATTATACAAATCAAGACAAAAACTCTACAGACCGGTCAACAAACAATAGTTTTTATGTAATTTTTGTGAACTTATATTATAGTCCGTCCGTCCATTGCTGGGCACAGTCGTCTCCAAGAACGCTACTTAGCTCGATCTTTGTTAGCTCTCTGCAAATATTTTATATCGTAGATATTATTTACTAAAAATTGGGAATAATGATATTTTTTGAATGCCCATCTATACTAATACTAGTTGTTTTCCGCGGCTTATCTCGCGTGGAAGTTGATGATACAACAAACTTTTTTGTTTTTTTTTATGGCATAAGCCGGTAAACGAGCCAACGGCTCACCTGATGGTAAGCAATCGGCGCCGCCCATGGACACCTGAAACACCAATGCGTTACAAGTACCGGCCCTTTGGGAATTGGGAATTTGAGGATTGTGGAGGATTCGGGGTTGGGGAGACGGGGACTGGGAGGGTGGTAATTGAGCCTCCGGTAACCTTACTCACACAACAAAACACAACGCAAGCGTTGGTTCACGTCGGTTTTCTGTAAGGCTGTGGTATCACTCCGGTTAAGCCAACCCATTTATGCCGAAGCATGGCTCTCCAAAACTTAAAACTTTAATCACTTTTTGAGTAAAATTGCAATCATTTCTGGAACAAGTATTTTTTAGTTTTTAATGAATAGCCTCTAATAGAAAAAACCCTGTAAATAAATAAAGATAAAAAAGGTAAACAAAAATCAGTAGCCTCAATACAAATGTAATGTTCCTCAGACTTATAATAGCGCTAGACTCGTACAAACTTTAAACCCGTATTTCATCCATTGTTAAGCTAAATTTCTAAAAATCCTGAAACACATAACATAACAACACATAACCAAAATATAAAACTTTGTTCATTTTACTTTCATAATGACGGACGTTCATACAAATTATCACCCCCAATTTGAAGCCCCCCACCCAAACCCCCACTCCATATTATTTGAAGACTATAAAACATTATGCTACGATTGATAAGAGCTGAGCAGCTGAGATTAATGCTCAAACCTTCTCCGTGTGAGAAAAGGCTTTGCTCAGCAGTGGGCATTTATAGGCTGTTGATGATGATGATGAGCAGCGGATGACAGCGCTACTTTTCTTAAACAACTAAAAATATAGACATGTTTTTTTTAAATTATAGAATTAAAAACTTTCAGCAATCTAATTTAAATTATCACATGACGTCACGTCTCTGTCTATAATATACATTTTTTATTGAGCGACGAGGCAACGGTTGGCACTCCTAAACTTTAATTGATTTATTTTAGTAATTGATTTTTTTATTAGGACAATTATCCTCCCTAAAAATAGTTGAAAATATTACCAATCAATCTACATAATTCTTAAGATTGTTGACATTATATAATAACACTAGCTCTTGCCTGCCGCTTCGCTCTCGTTAATTTGCAAAATGCTTCGTACAAACTTCCACACCCCCTTTATACTCCCAGTATTGTGTATGTGAACTTGTGTTTGTAAACGCAACCACGACACAGTAGAAAATCCTAGTGTGGGGCAACATTTTAATAAAAAAAATTAGTAGCTTTTCTTTCTAACTTCTTTTAGGGTTAGAAAGAAACAAAAAGTAACCTATCTCATCCTCCAAACTTCCAAGTACCTATCGCAACTTAAAAATTACGTCAATTCGTTGCTCCGTTTTGTAATGTACGGTGGATTAACAAAAAAACACATATACTTTCGCATCTACATATAATTATTTAATGTATGGATTGACACGATACGACAGTTAAACATCGGCCGATTAGCTTTTAATGGCATTGCCGGACTCTACGATAATCTCCTATATCGTGGGTGTGTTTAAAAATATACAATTTCATATACGATCAGTTGGATTACACTAAGAATTGTACCATGCAGAAATCGTACCCACATCCCGTTGCACAGCAGGCCGGTTGCCTAGCCAATGCACAAACCGTGCAGTCAGATTAAATGAACGACATTGAATGAATGGATACGTAGGTTTATTTAATCAATACAAATAAGATACACCTATACTCTAAATTACTCTAAATATACCTATAATTCTTTGTTGGCTTGAACATTGTCATCTATATCTTAACGCTATTTTTCGTCACGCCGAATACCAACTAGGGTTCTAAAACGAGGAGATTTTTTAGTGTTGGGGTAACACTAGATTTTGTCTTGTACCCACATCAATAAATTTATGGATCACACTTAGAATTGTATTTAAACACTACATAGTATAAAACAAAGTCGCTATCCGCCGTCTGTCTGTCCCTATGTATGTTTAGATCTTTAAAACTACGCAACGGATTTTGATGTGGTTTTTTTAATAGATAGAGTGGATTCTTAAGGAAGGTTTACCTTTAAACCGGGGCGGGTCGTTATTCATCATCATCATCAACAGCTTATAAGTGCCCACTACTGAGCAAAGCCTCTTTTCACATGGGGAAGGTCAGAGCATTAATCACCACGCTTGCTCAATGCGGGTTGGCGATTTCAAACTTATAATTAGAAATTTTAAGCAGGTTTCCTCACGATATTTTCCTTCACCGTTGGTCAGTGGTGTCTAAATAATCTTGGATAGTACATATAACTCGGAAAAAGTTACATTGGTACTTGCCGTTGGTAGGTTTCGAACATGCATCCTCGCTCATGAGAAGCAGGCGTCTTCAACCTCCGGGCCACCACGACACATATTATAAGTAATCAGAGTTACTTCCGCAGTTATTCATAAAAAATACATATTTTTTGGATTATACCGTGTTGAATTTGAGCCTTTATCGCGTAGCATAGGACCCGGTTGCCACTGGAACAACCGTGCTGTCGTGTTATTTTATTCATCAGACTTCCTCTTGCGGCTTAGTCGGCGTGGAATTTGGAAGAGTATTGTTGGTTAACTCCGGATTCCGTGGCAAAATATGAACCAAAAGTAACTTAATATGTAACTGCCCACAAAAGGTAAGCTGCAAGAATTGTTCTAGTCGACCTTGTACATACTTACGGAGCCTTTTTCAATACAAACAAATAAATACTCAAATCTTTCCTCTTCATAACTTTTAAGTTTCGTTTTGCTACAGAACCAAGTAGGTATAACCGTATCATATTTTGTCATTGTTCTTTAAAAAGGTTGCCTGTAGTTTCAAAATAATGATACAAATGTTTCGTAAGTTTTCCTTAAATTTTGGTAATGACTGACGCGCGAATATTACTGTGTTGTTACTATGTAATCAGAGTTACTTCCGCAGTTATGAAGAAACAGTAATTTTCGATGACTCAAGGCGAATTATCTTTAACTTTTGTGCTTAAGTACTTTAAGATGAACACTTGAACAGCAACTGAACTTTTTCACCACAACTTCCACACACGAATATACGAAATCAAACGTTCATATTATGTATTTTATTTTTATTTACAAACTAAAATCACATCACAATTTCAATTGAGCAAGAATTATAAATTATTAATCACTTAAGCCTTGATCTTCTTGAGTTCCTTCTCGTACTTGGCGGTGTACTTCCTCTCAGGGTCGTACTTGACCGTAAGCTCGTTCCAGTACTCCTCCTCGTTGTTGATCAAGTACTCGATCACACGCCGGGTTCCGTTCTTCTGGGTCTCAGTACATTTGCCACATTCGTTCTCCAAGGCTTCCCTGATGTGTTCTATAGAAAAAAACATTGTTATACTTGATGTCTGGTAGATAAATAATAAGTTAAATAGTATACTCAATCAATTGCAACTTAATTTTAAACCTTTGAGTACCGTCATTATAGACACAATTAAAGAACAAATAGGTGTGTGGACACCGGTGTCCTCGCGGTGTTTGACAGTTTAATTACAATTAAGCCGTGTCTTCATTATCACACTACGTACCTTTGAGCTCCTTAGCGTCAGGGGCGCACTTGCCCTGGTCGAGGATGCACTTGACGTAGGGCACCAGCAGACGGCGGTTGGAGAGGATCTCGTCCAGGTTGACGTTGTCGTAACGGTCGGTGTAGTGGGAATCGTCGGGACGCGCCACCACCAGCGCCGCCACCGACAGCACGCAGAGCACGATCATGGACTTCATTTTGATTCTGAGGGGGTAAAAATGGCATGATTAAAACTATAACTCTATATTTAACAAAAACTATGTTATATTATATTTAAATAAATGAGGCTGGCAAGAAACTAAGGGTCAAGGCGACACTAGCTACATAAAAACTAAACAATCCCGTAAAAAAATTAAAAAAATATTTTTTATTGAACCAAATTTTTTTTTTTCAGAATGTTAATATTCCCCGTTGTTTATATTACACAATCAATGATTTATAGAATTTAAATTTATATTTTGAATTTAAAAAAACAACTCCAGCCTATATAGCACAGATTTAAATTACCTGTTTGTATGAGAGGTTTGTTCAGTGGTGAGATGGAGTGCGTTCTACAGTAGGCTGAGACGCTGCGTGCACTTATATACCATTAAACAAGTAACGCAAAAAGTCCCGACGTACACACTTTGCGTATGACTAAATATATTATTCATATCATGAGTGTTTTCTCTTGAGGTGGTTGACTACCTGGTTCATATTTTGATACCTCTTTGTTTAGTTCTTAAATTAATGATGTTTTTTTTAATCTTTTCAGTGTCAGTGGAAAGTTTTGTGGTGAAGTTACGTTGCTTGATAATTGTTCAGTTTTTCTGCTGGTCTATTAATAGCTTCTTCAAAATGAGTTATGGTCATTTTTGTGCCAAAGGATGATGAGTATAATTAAAGCCATAATCAGCATTTTTATTGTCACTTCCTGTTAGTAGCTATAATTCAGGGGTGATGTGGAGCACCCGTGTTACCCAGATTTCAGTTTTTGATCTCATTCAAATAAAAAAGTTTATTTTGATTAACTGAGCTCATTTCGCAAGTCGACATCAATCCAGAGCCGATTTGCAAAGATAACATTGAAGTATACTCAAAGATCGTACTTGAGAATTGCTTGGTATTGACTTTGAATTTCTACTTACAACTGTTCGAGTAATGAGGTTGTCAATAAATCTTTAGATACTAATTTGGTAACTCTTAAATAGCTGCTAAGGGCTGAATTATATAATTGTAGAAGATAAATATTTTTTTTAATAGAGGTATATAAAGGTTATCTTTGGAATTGACAATTATTATCTGCAAGCAGAGGCTTTTGATTGGTATTTAATTACTTTAATTAGCCTTTTTCCTGGGAAGATTAAAAAAAATCCGCTAGGGGCAGCACCGGTGGGGGGGTACATATGTTTTGAATTCTCTATTGACAACAACGTCAAACGTACGGCTTATTATTATCAGAATAAATAAATATTGTGATAAAATTTTTTTTTTTTAAATAGTCATGCCTACAAAACATTGCGCATTCGCAAATTGCACGTCTGATAGTCGGTACAAGCAAGATGGTGTAAAATTTGCCACGACATGCAAGCCATCGTTTCAAGTCCCGGACAAGATGATCTTGCACTTTTGCAAATTTTAATTTCGCTCCAGGTACATCATCTTCAGTTAATTCCATTTTAATTCTACACGTTTGACGTTGTTGTCAATAGAGAATTCAAAACATATGTACCCCCCCACCGGTGCTGCCCCTAGCGGAATTTTTTTTAATCTTCCCAGGAAAAAGGCTAATTACGGGAACTCGGCTCAGTGGCCTGATTTCCGAGATGAAAGAAGGTCAGGCCTATATGTCGATCACTTAACCATATTTTCTAAGAATAAATGTCTTTGTTTTTAATTCAACAAATTTTCCTTACCTACTTTTATGACAGCCGGAATAGGAAATCTTGCAATTTGCATTCATTAGATGAACATTGATTTCCGCACTACCTACTCGGTGAGAATATTACTATTTCGTAATTATGATTCATGTAATTGTGTTTGTCTTGATCTGGAATTATTGTCGGGTATAAGTAAGGTTACCTCACCAACTACACTTCGGGCCAAAAAAAACGGAACTAGTAGCATTTGCTTTTTTCGTTTTGTCAAAAAAAAATTGCAAAAAAAATACAACAAAATGCTCTCATTTTAAAGGTAACTAAATTGCCCTTAATACGACATACGTTACGTCAAGTAATAAAATACTTATCAAGAAATGACAAAAGCGCTAGTGGGAATGTTTATTTGCTTCCAAGTGTATGATGGAAATAATAACATACATAATGGGCGAAAAGTTAGTTTGACATTTATGAGAAATAAATACACAACTACATATTCTTTCTTTTAGCAGAGTTTCACACCGGTTTGCCTTCCGAGTGTAAAGACAAACATGTAATTACACCAATTTTCACCAGTCCAAAGGCCATCATCAGCCGGAAGACGTCCACTACTAAAGGAATCTAAGTTTAGCCCAGAGGTGAATTTTATTTAAATCTTTTTAGCTGTTAGGCGTAATTAAGTTCCTGCGTGTCATCCCCGTATTAAACAAATGTGTTACACATTATTTAGTACTCTCAGTAGCAGACACAAAGGATTAATGGGTTATATTATTCTAAGTCTTCCAAAAAGTATCATAACTTAGTTACGTTAGTAAAAGGTTAACATTCAAAAGGGCTACTAAAACCTCTAAGCTAAATATTTCTATATCTACATTTTATAAGTTAGACCATAGTTGACCATACTAAAGCCAGGTAAGTAGTAACCAGAAACTGTCATAAATTAAAGAGCTATACGCAATATACGTAATAACACATTATTTTCTTTTAACCAAGAATTGATATTGCAATACCTAACCCTGCAGTTAATGACCCATCATCTATACCAGGCATGAAGTCCTAACACTATTTTCTATTTAAGGACTTGCATAAACCTGTTATTAGTTAGATGACGTCATTACAAACTATGTACGTCAATACTGTAAGTGCAATCAACTTTTAATGTAATATATCGCAGCACTCAGTATCTTGTATCTAGCCTATCAGTCTAAGGCCAGGCCACACTGTGGTTTTCCCCGACAGGAATTATCGAGCTGCATGCATCATGACTTTTTATACCCTTTTATAACACAACAAATTCTAACTACCTCGTTGGCCGAGTCGTTACAAGGCGACTACTGGGCATGGGGTCTCAAATTCGAATCCAGGGTCGGTCAAAGAATTACTGGGTTTTTTAAGTTCTTAGTAGTGACATGGAGTCTTGAATTGTGCCTAGTTTATGGCAATAGGCTCACCCCCTATTACATGGTAGGTACTCATAACATAAATAGTGAAAAGTGGGTGTTACATATAGTGGACCTAAGTGCCGTAATTTACACCTCAGCCTACCCCTTCAGGGATAAAAGGCGTGATGGTATGTTAACACGAACAATTTTGTAATATTTCACAGTTTTAAAAATTGGTATCTATAAAGCAACAAGTGCCGCTTGTATGTACGTTTTTCTTGTTTCATAAACTCACACGGTTAAAAATCATTCAACCGTATGTGTGGCCTTAGCCTAAGATGCTTTACTTATTTAATTATGTATTATGCTTCGTTTCCAAGTAGCGGTTATTCCACTATCGGTCGGAAGATTTTTATTAATAAACCGCAACAGAGCCATATTTAAATAAATCAATCGTGTTTACTGTGTATCGAATGTGGTAAACAAAATTATTATAATATTAATTATTAATTATATGTATAACGAAATTATTATTATTATATAATAACTTCTATGTTTAATGTATGTACTTTGAATGCCATTACATTATTGTGAAGTGCCTAATATAATTGGGTACTTGCCAAATAGTCAAATTCAATACTTTTTTCGAACTTTGAAAAACTACAGTTTTCTATGAATTTTGTACGAGTTTGTATATCGTGACATCTAGTTTTTTAATGTCAAACAGCATACTTATTTCCCAAAAATTTGCTGGAAAAAATACTAAAATTAAGTTGGTCATAAAATCAATTAATGAAAGTGTGAATATTTTTTTATATTTTATTGTACTGAACAGTCGAATTAATTTATTTTTGACTTAGGAAAGTACTCAATACAACAAATATTTAGCTTTTTTCACATGTCTTTATCTACAGCTCGTGCTAGACCGCTGATTGTGAGTCGCCCGGGGTCCGGCTCAACGTGCAGGAGAAGGAACGGGGTGCTTTTAGTCAGTAAGAGTCTGACACTCCCTCCCTCCTCACCAAGGCGGGAGCAGTCATTCAATGATTTTCCCCCTTTAAAAAAAAGACCGCTGCTTGTACTATACATTACTGAGTTTAAATTCTGATCAATCTTGTAGTGTAAAGAGTATTTTTTATAGATCGACTTCAATAAAGGAGGCTCTCAATTTAACCTGTATGTATGTATGTTTGTGCGTGGTTATCTCCCGACCTACTTTGGGGATGATTTTAACCCAAAATAAATTGTTACCACACGTTCCTGCCTCATACAAGGTGTTGTTTTAGCTGCGTCATTTTCTAGGAGGTAACTCGGGTATCGATTCTGAATCCGAATCAATAAAAAAAATTGTTGATAAATATTTTTAGTTTTTCTGTAAATTACGGAAATCCATAAGTGCGAACCACACGCCGCCGTCTTGTAACTAGTTTTATAACGCGGCTTAACACACACAAACTCAAACACGTAATTAATATTATTCCTAATTCCATAAAACTCCAATAAGAAATATTGCTGTCGCTTATTCTGAAATACTGTCGAACTTAAACCATTTATTATAGCCGTATTTTTAACAATTGGCCCGAAACTTTCTCTTACATTGAACCTTTATTTCTTCTGTGACATGCCCCCAAAAAATGCCACGGTTTTAAAACTACAACTTGTATAAACGAACACCTTTTATTAATAAATAAAATTATGTCTATCTTAGGTACTCGGGTTAAAGATCGCAGTTTAAGAAGTTCAGGTTCATTAGAAATCAAGTGCAGTCAAATGTATGTCCTTTAGTCCTTTTTGGCTCTTTCTACACCCTCATTAAAAGTAATAGTGTTGTCAAAAGTATTGCATTTAGCCGTCATTACACGGCGTGTTTGTTAGTTATTCAATGTTATCTATTTTCGTTTTTATGCCAATAATATTGTTACTACATATTTTTTTATAAAAGACTTACAATTTGCTTGATTTTTTTAAGTAGTAATTTGTTAGCAATCCAAACATAAAGTGGTTCTATCTTTGTAATTTACATGATATTGCTATAGAAGTATTTAGACTTTATAGTCAGTTTTATTATATAACAGTATAGTGATAATCTGGAAGCCAGACCTTTTAAGTTATTGAAAGCAGGCTATTTTCAAATCTAAACGTCATCTGGCTTATTTTAGCCAGATTACGTTTAGATTTTGAGCTAAGGATGGTCGATCATGAATGTATGCGGTTAAATGTTCATAAGAAAAACTTCAAAACTTGACATTAATAAATATAATTTCCAAATACTCAATGAAGTAACTATTTAGAAACTTTGTTTATTTACAAAATAAATCTAAAATCATATCACAATTCAGAGTCAACTTGATAATTATACAATTGAGCAACATTATATCATTTAAGCCTTGATCTTCTTGAGTTCCTTCTCGTACTTGGCGGTGTACTTCCTCTCAGGGTCGTACTTGGCCGTGAGGTCGTTCCAGTACTCCTGCTCGTTGTTGATTAGGTACTCGATCACACGCCGGGTTCCCTTCTTCTGGGTCTCAGTACATTTGCCACATTCGTTCTCCAGGGCTTCCCTGATGTGTTCTGTAGGAAAAAGAAACGAATTAGACTAATTTATTTATCCATC